GCGACGACAACGACGACGACGGCGGCAATAATGGCGACGGCGTTAGTGATGATGATCTGCATGACTTAATTTTATGAGGCGACAATGATGATGACGATGATGATGTTAAAGGAAATATCGCTGATGATGATGATGATATTAGCTGTGATAATGGCGATGGTGATGATGTCGATGATGGTGATAGTACTAGTTGCTGCAGTGGTGATGATAACGATGATGATAACGGTGGCTGTGGTGGTGGTGATAAAGATGATGACGACCGCAATGGCGGTGCCGATGGCGCTGATGACGATGATGTGAGTAGAGAGGAGGGAGGAAGATCTAAAACAGGAAGTAAAACTGGAGATGAGGTGAACGATGATAAGGATGAAATGAGTGAGGCCATGGTATTGTCGTCGTCGTCATCTTTAGTCTCCTTGTTATTGTAAATAACATTGTTGCCATCATTCTCATTACAATTAATATTATTATTATTATTATTATTATTATTATTATTGATGTTGTTTTCGTTATTATCATTAATGTTAATGCGTTTTTGTTGTTGTTGTTGCTGTTGTTGTTGTGAAAGGATGACCAATTCGTCCGATTGTTGTTCGTGTAGTTGTTGATGTTTTTGATGTGGTTTTAGCTGATAGTTGCTTATGCAAAATGGGTAAATCTGTTGTTGCTGCTGCTGTTGTTGATGATGTTGTTGATGATGTTGTTGATGTTGTAGTTGATGTTGTTGTTGTTGTTGTTGATGAAGATGATGTTGTTGTTGTTGTTGTTGATTTAGTTGTTGTTGTTGTGAAGGGTTGAGAACGGTTTTGGGTCTAGATCTATTGAAATGATTCTGGTGAAAATGATGACGACGAGATTGTGATAGCGATGTATCATCATATCATAGTAAAATAATATCAACAATAATATGAAGAATAATAATAACCAAAAATAAGAATGAAAAAAAAACCTGTTGAATAAATTTCAGTGCAAATTTAAACAAATAAACAAATAATAATAAAACAATAACAACAACAACAATGAATAATAAAAATAGTAATAATAATAATAATAATATTATTATTATTATTATCATTGTGAAGATGAATGAAACAGACTCGATAGGGAAGACTTAGTTAGAGGAACTTGTTTTACACTTCTATTGTTTATGGTGATGATGAATACCATTGTAATGAAGATGACAATAATAATAATAATAACAACAACAATAATAATAATAATAATGATGATGATGATGATGATGATAAAAATAATAATAATGATGATAATGATGATAATAGTAATGATGATGATGATTGTAAGGATGATGGCGACGATGATGATGATGATGTGATGTCTGCGAAGATGTAGCGCCTCTTTATTCTCAAATCTTTTCGTCATCAAACGTTTTAGACAGCCAGAGTCCACAGGGAATCAACCAGCAAGCAAGAAGACCAAAGGTGGGCGATGATTAATTACTTTTTGTTGTTATCATCATTAATGTTATATTATCATCATCTGTGTTATTATAATTATTATTTGTATTATTATTATTATTATTTGTATTATTATTATTATTATTATTATTATTATTATTATTATTATTATTACCTTAACAACTTTGGCGACATTATAAATGGTTAAAACATTACCTCAAAAATTATATTTTGTATATATATATATATATGCATATATGTATGTATGTTTAGGTTTGTGTGTGTGTATGTTTGTGTCTGTGTGTTTGGGTGTGTGTTTGTGTGTATACAATAAACATCTCAAACCATAATCAAATATGTAACCAACACAAAAAGCTAAACAAAAAATTAAACATTGAAGGAAGCCCGATATGAAGGGTCGAAACAAGAGAGCAAACTAAGGAACATAAACATGAACAAACAAGCAGACAAACTCAACTTAATTAACATTAATTATAATAATAAACCAACTAAAACAAAACTGAATAAACATAGGTACACGCACACACACACACACGCACAGACACACAGAGGAGACATTAATAAGCAGAAAAAACTACACGACACTTATGTAAAATAAAAAGCTTCAATACATTCAACACATCTGGAATATAAATTTTGTTTAAGACGCTGAACGTAAATAAATGCGGTGAAATCTTGAGTGAAAATCTTTTGAAGCTGGTGTTCTAAGAACCTCTTGAAAAAGTATCGTGAAACTTTAATAGAAATTATCAGTAAATCAAAATGTTATAAAGATCGGCGACATTTAAAACCAATTTTCTGGAAAATAACTAATGCTGCTAAACACATCTAAGATGAGATGATTCTCTCTCTCTCTCTCTCTCTCTCTCTCTCTCTCTCTCTCTCTCCTATTTTTATCTCTTTCAACCTTTCTTATTCCTTTTCAAACGAAATGTAAGCAAAAGTGTTTCCAGGATTGAACATTCTCAGCGCTTTCCATCCTCTTCACTCACCCAGAGTTCAACCTCCATTCCTACCTATTCACAACCAACCGAACATATCAATGGAAAAGGCACACACACACCACACACACACATACATTTAAAAGCACATTTAAAACAGAAACACAAAAACACAAACATTTAAGCTCATCT